TATATATATATATATATATTTGTCTTTATTCGCACATGCATATATATATATATATATATATATATATATATATATATATATATATATATGTAAAGAAAGAAAAGGAAATTTTATCTTTGCCTACGCGTTTCGTCCTCTTATGGACTTTATCAAGGCAAATGAAAGGGTGTAATTTTGCAACGAGTATATAGAAACGGAAGTAAAAACGTTAATTTTTCAATTTTTTTTTTTAATTTAATAAACGCTCATGAATATTCATAAGGTTAACTGAAAAGTTTAGGTAAAATATGAATGATGATAAGTGACGTAATTTATTGTCTAACCAAAAGTGATTAAATAATCTTCTTCATGTTTTTGATATAATTAATATTTATATTATTTTAGTCTGCGATTCATTTATGTATTACATATTTTAAAGAAAAGAATGTTTTGAATTTTACTGCTTTCTTTTAACATTTTTATTGTCGTGTATATTGACTTGGGAAAGGATTAATTCTATAAAACTGTTAAAAATGAAAAAAAAACGGTTAAATTCATAAGCTCCTGTTATTTAGATTTTATAATACATGAATTCATCCCAAACTAAAACAATATACGTATTAATTACATTATAAAAACAAATCAACACCAGAATCCTTTATTCACTTTCGTTTATTAGACATTGAATTATGTCATTTAGCATTCTCCATAATTTACTTAGACATTTCCGTTAACTTGATGAATATTTATGAGCGTTTCTTAAATTCAAAAATTTTGTAAAACTAAGATTTTAATTCCCTTATAAGTACTTAATGGAAAATAAAATCCTTCCATTTGCCTTTGAAAAAATCGTCGGCTAAGATAAGTTTCATTTTGTCTTTATTCATATTGTACTTTTACAGATATACTTTTAGTTATATCTGAAGATTTTATACACACACACACACACACACATATATATATATATATATATATATATATATATATATATATATATATATATATATATGCGTGTGTGCGCGTGTGTGTGTGTGTGTGTGTGTGAATTTCTTTCGGATTTGTTCTTAACGACTAACAGATGCTGTTTTCAAGACAATTCAAATTAATTTTTTTCGAAATTTGGCAACTATTTTTTATCTCATATATATGTGTGTGTGTGCGTGTATGTAAATATTCAGATATAAATAGAAATATATCTGTAAAAAGGCAATATGAATAATGAAAAAAGAAAATCTATTCTTTACCGACGCGTGAACTTGGACGAAAAGAGAGTGCCGCAATCAAATCTTGCGTAAATGTAAATCTACGCGCCGGATGTTTTAACAAATATCTCCTTTTCTATAAGATATATTCCTTCTCCAACACAACATACATGTCCATATTTTTTTTTTAAATTAAACTAAAATGCTTAAATCAAAACTTTCTATTATTTAAAATAGTTAAATACATAAATTAATTTCTCTAACTAAACTAAAATAATATGTAATAATTACATTAAAAAAGTCAATGACAAGAAGATTTACTAATTTTCGTTTATTAGGCATTAAATTATATCACTTAGCATCCCCCTTAGTTTACCTTGACTTTCACATCCTGAGGAATATTTAAGAGTGTTCTCAAATTTAAAAATTTTGAAAACCTAATGATATCTTTACTTTGATATATAAATACTTGGTGCAAAATAAAATCCTCGATGAGAAAAAGTTATTTTCTTTTTGTCTTTATATATATATATATATATAGAGAGAGAGAGAGAGAGACAGACAGACAGACAGACAGACAGACAGAGACAGAGACAGTGAGACATATATTTTTATATTTTGAGCTGAATGTCGATAGATACGTATTTAAACCCTACATATGTCGGCATATTGACTCTCGTGTTAATCGTACATGTGTGTATCTTTCTGACTGTAGTGCAGACCGGTCCTATGACTACCGTTTTAACTCTATTTTAAACCAAACCTATGTATACTTTTTTGAAAAACCGGTCCTCTGTCAGCTTTTGACTCAAGTGTAAATTGAACGTTTTTGAATCACGTGTAAACCGTACCTACATATACCTATTAGCTCAAGTACAAACCGGACCTATATCTGCTCATAATTCGTGTTGATCTTTCTGAACCTCATGTAAACCGGCCATATCTACCCTTTGATTCTAGTGTAAACCGGATCTATATTTACGTTTTGAATCAAGTGAAAACTGAATTTATGTTTATCTTTTGATCTTAGGGTAAACTAAACCTTTGTCTACCATCTGTTAATTAATTGTTTATATTCAACATTTAATAACATGATATGTTTTGTAATATCAACGAACACTCGTTGCAACTTTTGTGATGTCAATGAATACTCGCTGTCACTCTTCGTAATGCTCGTTGTAGTAGAGACTTTGTAATCGTAGATACAACTATAGTAACGCCGTTGAACAATACTGGTGTCAGACGCCTTTGAATATCACTCGCATTAATGGTACTTGCTCAATAATACTCACTCGACAAGTAATCACCGTATAGTGATCTGAATAGAAAAATAGTATACTGAACTGAGTAGAGAATAGTAGTCTGTATAATAATAGAGGATAGAATAGAAACAGCGATCTGAATAGTAATAAAGTATAGACTAGAAATAGAGATCAATAGTCATCGTGATAATTCCCATATATATATATATATATATATATATATATATATATATATATATATATATATATATATATATATATATATATATATATATATATATATTCTCTATGGTCATGTGGTCTACTTAATTAATAATGGAATCGCCTGTGTTTACTCACTGGCGATCTATGTTCAAATTCAGGTGTCGGCAGCGACAATTTATTCCTATAAAAACAATATGTTATATTGATATGTTCTTAAATTGACCAATCAATATTTTCATTGATAAAGATATGCATTAAAAACTTTATACTAATATTACATTATAATGAGTTTTATTTTATTATTCACATGGCTGTATTTTTTGAAGAAATATTCAAAGAAAATATTCACCTTAACTTTCGTTTTGAAAATGGATTTAACACATCAAAGTTTTTTGAAAAATAAATAAAGATAACTGTCTCAAAGAAATAAGTAAAAATATAAAACTAAAAACACCGAATTTAATATTCCAAAGAATATTTTACCCGTATGTTTCAGTAGCAGTGTTGGCGTATTGGTATGCCTTTTGCCAATTATGCACCAGGTTTGTATTTGGACAGAAATCATTTAATGTTATGTATATTTCTGCTTCAGCGTAACAAATTGCGATTAGGATTTATATAAGGTTATTTATTTATTTCTGATTGGGCATCTGGAGACAATTCTTAAAATGTAAATATTTTCTGCCTCTGTTTGCTTTTCTGGCAAAAGGGGATGAAATCGGTATGGACTGATTTCAAAATAATTTTGCTTCACGGGACTATCACAAATTTGCAACAGTATTGACGACAAGCGACATGCGAGATTGTGGAACGTTCACCTCCTGCTGAGGAAAATTCACATAGCAAAAGTACCGATGCACAATTTGAGTCTAAAACAGTCATTCGTTAACATAATTACACTCTCTCGGTCGGCCCTATTATCTTTCCGGCAGTCTCTCTCTTTCTCTCCCTCGATCACACACACACACACACATATATATATATATATATATATATAAACAATTTTTTTTGTTGTACAAAGCTTAATAATAACAAGGAATAAACGTAATTTACAAGGCATTTTAATGTAAATTTTAATAGCTAAAAAAACAGCCGGTTTCGTCCCAGTCTTATCAAGTTTAATCCTGGGAAATTAAATAATAAACTTGTAAATTAAATTGAAGATGACTAATGAAGGGAAAAAATAAATAAATAAAATAAATTCAAAGAAAACTAGAGCCCAATAATATTCAGACCAGCAAACAATCCCTCTGTTTACAGATGGAAGGCTTAGGGATCTGATATATAAGAACTCCATTACCTTAATATGATATAAAGAGGGGACCTTGAAAAAAAAAAAATATATATATATATATATATATATATATATATATATATATATATATATATATATAGATAGATAGATAGATAGATAGATAGATAGATATATAATTAAATTTATTTTCGGTTCTAAAACAAAGACATTTGCTTCGTAAATCATTAAAAGTAAAATATCGTAAAAAAGCTAATATGAAACAAAAAAAAACATCAAAATAAATCTATTAGCAGCCTGATTATTCCTACTAATTAAATGATATATTCCGGTCTTATATCCTTAACACAAGGTATTTTGCCTTATTGGCGTCGAATTGTCTCTTCTGTTACCATAGTAACGGAATAATTCATTATCTAAATTAAGGAGATTGGATGTTTGACCAATAAATGAATTTATAAAGCCAGTTGTGTTTATATATATATATATATATATATATATATATATATATGCACGTGTGTGTGTGTGTGTGTGTGTGTGTGTGTGTGTAAAACTCTATGCGTATCTACCGATGTGCCTGCTAAGCAGCAGAGCTATTTCTTTGTGTCTGGAATTCCTTGTCGGCCTCACAACCCAAATAAAAGTCAGGATTAGAAAGATTAGAGTAACATGAACGTTTGCAGGCATATGATCACCGAAGTTAAGCAACGTTGAGCTTGGACAGAGTAACCGCTTGGAAGAGTAACCGCTTGGGAATACCAGATGTTGTAAGCTTGAATGTGCGGGTGGTGTAAAATGGTTAACGGCTCAAAATTGTTAATCGGAGAGCAGGGTTCCAGTTCCAACTGTGTTCGTCATATTCACTTACGTGCAAATACCCATGTGAAAGGTATATGTCCATCTCTTTTCCTCCAAACTATGGGTTAATTAGTAGAAGATGTATCCGTAAAACATTGCTATCTCCAAAAAATTCTTATAACCTAAAATATTTTTTGCTTTTAAATAAACTTCAAAAGTTTGATAAACCGTAAAAAACAAAATCAATCTATCTTTAGTAATCAATAGAAATAAATAAAGATACGCTAATTATTTATAATATACGTGTAAATATGAACTGAAATAGGTAGCTTGATAGATAGAGAGATGTTAAAAGCAGATAGATAGATAGATAGATAGATAGATAGATAGATAGATAGATAGATTGAACAGACTGAGATAGATGGATGGATAGATTGAACAGACAGTGATAGACAGATAGACAGATAAATTGAACAGTGATAGATAGATAGATAGATAGATAGATAGATAGATAGATAATGACGCGGGTAATGTCTATGTTATTTCTAAAATAATAATTATTTATGTCTTGCCTTGGCCAGAAGTGGAATAAATTGTTCTCTTCATTTTAGGGAAGGCCTCTGGTCCCGGGGATTCCAACCCTGCGGCAGCCCCTTCCACATTCAACGAAGAAAAGTGAGGTCGGTGCAATATCGTCGCCGTCGTGACAATGGTCACGCGTTCTGAGCATTTTTTGTCCTTGGCCCATATGCATACGGATATGTACATGCTGCCCGAAACCGACCTTGTATCACACCTTGCCTTAATGGGGTGGCCGGGTAAATATATACTTTAGTCAGGATCCCGTTAAGTCTATCTAAATCTATATCATAGAATATATTATAATTAATTTACTTACCTTTATCTGAAGAAAAAGAAAAAAAAACGTTTTGTGGTTTAATTTGTCAATAATAATAATAATTATTATTATCATCATTATTATTATTATTATTATTATTTTCTTTGATTTCTGGCGTTTACACATTTCTTTCCGGGTCCCGACCAGAGACCTAAGGTTAAAAATGGCATCATGACACTTTCCACTGACAAAAAAAAATTACATAGATAAAGCCCTTCATAAAGTTTGGGCTGTACTTGTCAGAACAATTTTTTGTATCTCTTTGAGGTATGAACTTCCAGGAATCCCTTCAATTAGTCTGCTGGAATCTTTTCCAACCAATCCTAGGGCTCCAACTACAACAGGGATTGTTGATGTTCCCATGTGCCACATTTTTGAGATTTCTATTTCAATGTCCTTGTATTTTGACAGCTTTTTGAATATCTTCAAAGATACATTGCAGTCTGCAGTGACTGCCTTATCAATAAGGAGGCACTTGTTATTATTATTATTAAAAAGATCTTTTTCGTGTTATAGGCCTGTGGAGGCGCTCCCAACGTACGACACCGTTGGAAAATGTTTGAAAATCATACCATGGGTTAACTCAAGCCTTGTGAGTGTAACCGAGTAAAAGGAACTGTTCGGAGGCCGTCAATGGTTGGACGAGCACGAGGCCACAAGTCAACATGACCGAGGGTTTCAACTTACTGGACTCGTTCAAACTGTTGATTATGACAAATGATGTGCTCTCTCTCAGAAAGTAACTAAGACCCGCTCAGCATAGTTGCGGTATAGGCCACAAGAGGGCTCGACGGGTGTTGAAGAAACTCAAATGTGCCTGAGCTGGCGTCTGTAAAAAAGACTGGCTAGTCACCCTAGAAGACGTGTGTGCTCGAAAACGAGTAGTCAGACATCTTAGAGCTTTTAGATCAATTCCAGATAAATTAGAATAGCCTTCCTTGTCAAAGTTGGCAGAGTTGTGTAAATCTTTAAAAATATGTGCTATGATTATATTCTATATGTATTTATTAAGTTATGAATTTCAGCATGAAACTCGTCCAGGGGCTAATTTTTCTCGGAGTATTTCGATTCTGGATTATCTGTAAAAATTCAGATAAAAATAAAATATATCTATAAAAAGGAAAAAAATTACTTTAGCGAGTCATTTCGTTTGTTAATTTACCTTGATAAAGTCCCTCCTTAGACGAAACGCGTCGGTAAAGAAAAGTTTTCCTTTTGTCTTTATTCATTCTGAATTATGCTTATTTATATGTTTGATTTAAGGCTGTTCTATGGATGCCTTTTAAGAGATCAGCAAAGAAGTACTTGAAAATGAATGCCATTTTCAAGCATTTCTTTGCTCATCTCTTAAAATTAGAGATTAAGTGTCTTTGATGACAACCGTCAACAGGTGTCGCTATCATTTAGACATATGCGGATTTACGCTATCGTGAAATTCAATGAATTTTTAACACGGTTGGAGAATTTTATCGAAAACACAAAAAAAAGATGGCGTTTATTATTCTGTCTAACAATCATTCCGATTTGTATTAAGATGTTTTAAGCTGTTCATAATCACTGCTTACTGTCAGTTTATTTATACTCACAAAATCTTTAACCCCATTTTTATGGCGATTTTTAAGGCTTAAATGTGAATCTGTATTTTCTATTCTTTCCTCTGATATTCGTTCTGGCAGACAAGGCAGAATGCCTTTCACTATGGAATGCAATTCAAAGAAATATTTTCTAAAGACTAATAAAAAAAAACAAGTCCTTATTTGCTATTTTTTTTATTTCTTAAAAGATTTACAATATAATGAAAGCATGATGCTTAATCGGAACTGTTAAAAAAGTAAAAACTAGAATAACGGTTGGTAGATATTTATACCATATAGATTTTACATATTTTACATGTTCATAACTGTACACTGAAATTCAATATTAGAAAACTTGGTTCACACTGACAATTGTACCTGAAGAAAACTACGGAAGTATCTTAGGCATTAAAAGACAAAAAATAGACGTAAAACGTCGAAGAAAATTGTTAGAAAGTAACTAACATCTAATTAAAATAATTGAGCAAAGTGTTGAATGATGGAAAAAAGAAAGAAAGAAAGAAATTAAATAGATTAAAACGAGTGAGCAAAACATAAAATGATGAGAAAACAAAAGAAAGAAAGAAAGAAAGAAAGAAAGAAAGAAAGAAAGAAAGAAATTAAATGGATTAAAATAAGTGAGCAAAATATTAAATGAAGGGAAAGAAAGAAAGAAAGAAAGAAAGAAAGAAAGAAAGAAAGAAATTAAATGGATTAAAATGAGTGAGCAAAATATAAAATGATGAGAAAACAAAAGAAAGAAAGAAAGAAAGAAAGAAAGAAAGAAATTAAATGGATTAAAACAAGTGAGCAAAATATTAAATGAAGGGAAAGAAAGAAAGAAAGAAAGAAAGAAAGAAAGAAAGAAAGAAATTAAATAGATTAAAATGAGTGAGCAAAATATAAAATGATTAGAACACAAAAGAAAGAAAGAAAGAAAGAAAGAAATTAAATGGATTAAAATAAGTGAGCAAAATATTAAATGAAGGGAAAGAAAGAAAGAAAGAAAGAAAGAAAGAAAGAAAGAAAGAAAGAAAGAAATTAAATAGATTAAAATGAGTGAGCAAAATATAAAATAATGAGAAAACAAAAGAAAGAAAGAAAGAAAGAAGGTGTTGTGGTAGGATCCACCTAATTTACATAGTGGAGTACCGACCATATAAATATGGGTTGGTACCGGTAAGACGGGTGGGAGGAAGAAGAGATCCAATCCAGAGACTCTGCCCGACTGGCGACTACGTCAACCCATTCTACAGGAACGGTCTTCCCAAGAATATACCAAACTATCTGTAAATATTGTGTACACGTTCTTGTGTCAATACATTTTGTTTAAGTACATTTTGTGTTGTATTATTATTATTCCATGCTTTATTCAAGTTTCAACAGAAGGAAAGAAAGAAATTAAATAGATTAAAATGAGTGAGCAAAATATAAAATGATGAGAAAACAAAAGAAAGAAAGAAAGAAAGAAAGAAAGAAAAATTAAATAGATTAAAATGAGTGAGCAAAATATTAAATGAAGGGAAAGAAAGAAAGAAAGAAAGAAAGAAAGAAAGAAAGAAAGAAAGAATTAAATAGATTAAAATAAATGAGCTTGAAAAAGTTAAAATAGATGCAAAAATTAAAATTAAAAGTATGTCCGAAGGGAATGAAAGAATTGATGAAGTTAACGAAAGATTAAAAGAGAAAGAAAAATATTTCTTTTAAAAGATCAAATAACAGTAGGAGAAAAAAGTTTTGAGTGGAATGGCATTGCTTGAAAAAAAAGTGATGCAAAGAAAGAAATTATTTGAAAAATGAATCCAAAAGTGAAATAACAAACTTTTGAATTAAAAAAAGAACAAATGAAAAAAAAAATGAACACAGAAAGGAAAGCGTGTCTTGAAGAAGACACAAAATGAAAAGGAAGGTAAAGATTAAGAAAGAAATATTTTTTAAAAAGACAGCAAAAAGAAATTGAAAGAGAAAAAAAAACAAGTAGGAAACTTTAAATATAAAAGAGAATTAAAGAGAAGTGATCTTTATAAAAAGAATATTTTAAACTTAAAAAGAAAAAGAAAAAAGAATGAACGAAATACAGAAAATATCTTTATTATAAGAAAATATTTTAAACGGAAGAAGATAAAAAAAAAAGACTGAATGAAAGTAAAGTTAATTTTATTTTAAAAACCACCATTTTAAAAGGAAAAGAAAAAGAAAAAAAGAATGACTGAAAGAAAAAAATCAACTTTAGAAAAATCATTTTAAACGGAAGATGAAAAAGAAAACAATGAAAGAAAGAAGTAAATTTCATAAAAATATATTTTAAACATAAGAAGAAAAAGAAAAAATATATAAAAGAAAAAGATTGAAAAAAAGAAAGATAGAAAAGAATGATGAAAAAGTAGAAACATTAAAAAGAAGAAATGTTATTAAAAAAACGAAACGGCGGAAAAAGAAACCGGTAAAAATTAAAAAGAAATATTAAAAGAAAAAAAAGATTGAAAAAAAAAAAAAGAAAGATAGAAAAGAATGATGAAAAAGTAGAAACATTAAAAAGAAGAAATGTTATTAAAAAAACGAAACGGCGGAAAAAGAAAACCCGGTAAAAATTAAAAAGAAATATTAAAAGAAAAAAGATTGAAAAAAAGAAAGATAGAAAAGAATGATGAAAAAGTAGAAACATTAAAAAGAAGAAATGTTATTAAAAAAACGAAACGGCGGAAAAGAAAACCCGGTAAAAATTAAAAAGAAATATCAAAAGAAAAAAGATTGAATCCTATGAAATATTAAATTAAAAAACAAATTCTAGAAAGAAAAAAATGTTAAATAAGAGAAATGATTGAAAAGAAAGTTGACAAATAAGAGAAAATATAAAAAAAATAATGAGTGAAGACAAAATTATAATGATCATCATCACCAGTGCTAGAAGGTACACTGAATATCAATGTGATTTCTCATCACCAGCATAAATGCTCGTTTCCGAGTATGACCATCTGCGTTTCTTCATCACCTTCAGAGCTAAACTGTGGTTCATACTGTTACAATTCAAGTATATGCCACACCAGAGTTTGAATCCAGAGTTGTTCTTCGTCTAGACTAGCTTCCAACATAGGCTACAGTGTCCAATATGACCTGTTATTTAATCTATAACTAGAAGGGGAACGAACGAATTCACACCTTTCTCAATGTTATTTGTGGGAAAGTGAATGCAACTATCTTGACCGGAATTCGAACTCGACTTGCCGTTTTCTCGTTTCAAGCCACTAACCATTACACCGCATGCACATCGTTAACTATAAAGACTAAATACAATAAAGAAAAGGAAAAATTACAAGATAAAGAAAATACAAAAGAGTATAACAAAGACATCTTTAAAGAAAAAAGTAACAACTCTTATTTCAAATGGCGTTGTTTTAAGTCTGCTTGCCGTTTCCCGTCAAAGCCAGTCGTTGCCCCAGCTTTCTCTTGGTCGACATTACGTCACGTAGATATTCCTTAGAACTTGGTACATACAGTACTAAACACACACGAGCACTAACAAGATAGGCAGGTGGCACCGGCGGAGACGATAGACGACCGTACATAGGTGACTAGTTGGAAAACAAAGGTATAAAGGCAATTGTATTTAAAGAGGTGATGGACATGGTGGCGGTGATAGGATACCAGGGAAAGTGGATACAAACTGGTGATGGTAGTAGCAGTAGTGGTGGTGGTGGATCTTAAGTAGAGCCGACCGCACCCGTCTTGGAGGGTGATATATTTCTGTGTTAATCCGAGTATTGTATACCGTGGCACGGTGCTATCGACGGCCCCAAGGCACGGACTGGTGTTTTTATTAAGCTTTGTCAAGACAAATTTCACATCTTTTGCATTTTATTTTTTTTTGTTTTTGTTTTTCAAGTTAATGTTTCTCTTGTCCTCTTTTCATCACCTCTTTACCTGGTTATCTGCCTCACGCCTAAACATAGCTTCGGTCGTTTTTTTTTTTTCATCTTATCTTTCTGTGCATTACTCTTTACTTCAGCTTTTCCCTTTCTTTCATTCTTTCTTTCTTTCTTTCTTTCTTTCTTTCACTCACTCACTTCATCTTGTACTCTCTTTTCTCGTACTTTCTTGTACTCTCTTTTCTCGACTCAGTTCCCCACTCTCTCAAGAAGCTTACTGTTTTCAATCTTTTATCTCTTCTCACTGTCTATTTTTCTCTCCATCATCTCGTCTACTCTTTCTTCCTTTCTATGCCTCTCTTCCCTTCTTGCTTTCTTTCGCCTCCTTCTCATCTATACAGTCATCTTTCTACCTCAATTCAATTTTCTCACTATTCCCCCCCTTCTCTCCTGATATGAATCTCTCTCTCTCTCTCTCTCTCTCTCACACACACACACAAACATACACATAACACAAACACATACACACAAACATACTTCAGTTTTCTTGTACTCTCTTTTCACGTTCTTTTTTGTTCTCTCTTCCCAACTCAGTCCCCACTCTCCCAATAAGCTTACTGCCTTCAGTCACTTATCTCTCCTTTTTTGCTATCTCTTTTTTTTCATTTATCTGCTTCTTTCTTGCTTTCTTTCGCTTCTCTTCTATCTAAAACAATCATCTTTCTACCTCAATTCTATTTTCTTGTCATCTATCTCCTCTCTTTCTCCTTTGAATCTCTCGCTCTCTCTCTCTCTCTCTGTCTGTCTCTCAGTCCCTGTCCGTCTCTCTCTGTATATGTCTGACTGTCTCTCTCATTCTCTCTCTCTCTCTCTCTCTATATATATATATATAGAGAGAGAGAGAGAAATATAATGTTCTCGACATGTTCGTTTTCGTTTTTTTCCTTCTTTTTTTTCCTATTATTTTGGTGGGTTTTGATAAATAATAATCGCCCGCCCTTTTCTTGTCACTGATATCCTAGTGTTCCACCTGACCTTCTGATTGACAAACAAAAGAAAGGTGAAAATCTCACCCATCTTTCTGCATACGATTAAGTATACAAAATTAGTTAACTCTTCCTTCTTCCTACAATTCAAAGCAGACAATTCTCACAATTGGATTTTACACAAATTATATCAGAAAACAACGATATACAACAGTATTTAGTGGGAGAATAACTAGCTGGTCGTCTACAAGTAAAGTTGATTCATCTGCCCCACTACAGATGGCAGCAGTTTGAGAAAATAATTAATCTTTTCTTTATGTGTCTGTTCAGATTGTACCTTTATCCTCGATGTAGGGCTTTTTCAAAAAATGAGTGCTTACCGTTATGCTTAATGCTGGCCTTATAAATAACACCTTTATACATACATTTGCCATACAAAGGACAGATGTTCTCTTTTCTACAATTGCATTCTTCATCATCATAGTTAGCGTTGTAATTATTTATGCTTAAGTATTTACAATATATATACTAAAACAAATCCACATGATAACCAACGACGATTATAGTTTCTCTCCTTATATATATATATATATATATATATATATATATATGTATATATATATATATATATATATATATATATATATATATATATATATATATATATATATATATATATATATATATATATATATGCATATTTAGCACAAACCTTTCTTTTAAATATCGTTCGTTAAATATGACAAACAATGAAAATGTAATTAATTTTTGCATTTATTTTTTTCCACCATTCTTACATGTTTCCCTTTAGTGGGAGCTAGGGAATGCAAAATTATCCATATTGTCCATTGACCTAAGCACTTTCGGACACTTCTTTAGCAATTTTCAATGGGCCTCTTCTGGGTGTTGTTAATTTCTATTCATTTTTCTGACTGTAAGATGTATTTTAATTTTGTGTTATTTTGAATAATAGTAGGAACGTTTATTCCGAGCTTTCAGGTGTTGAGCGCGGCTGGAAATTGAGGGAGTGCCTTTTTTAAACTTTCAGCAATCCCAATCTGTACATATGTACATACATATATATATATATATATATATATATATATATATATATATATATATATATATATATATATATATATATATATATATATACATATATATATATATATATATATATATACATATATATATATATATATATATATATATTATGCTCTACCTTGTATGAAACTCTTTTTTAAATAAAAATAAATGCTAAAGGACTATGGATTATTAATCTAACTGTTCTTTTACTTTTATTTTAATATATATATATATATATATATATATTTATTTATTAGTGATTTTATAGCATATTATGTTATAATTTTCGAATAAATAATTATATATATATATATATATAATTAATTAATTATATTATAAATAATTATATATATATATATATATATATATATATATATATATATATATATATTTTATTCGAAAATTATAACATAAATATGCTATAAAATCACTACAAAAAATAATCATTATATATATATATATATGCTCTACTCTCTATTGAACACTCTTTTATGGATAGTATTTGTTGGTTATTGGAATTTATTCCGTATACGCTAATCCTATACTCATACATATATATATATATATATATATATATATATATATATATATATATCAGATATTACTAGGATCTACCTGGATTATATATCAGCGGATCTATTACCTGTATTATATATATATATATATATATATATATATATATATATATATATATATATATATATATATATATATATATATATATATACGGATGAACGTTTTAATATAGATCTGATACATAGTTATCAACCATTTTTGACGTCTTTATCGATCACCAGACTATGTGTCCTGCAAGCGTTCTATCAATATATTAAACACTCTTCTTCCATAAATATAGAAAATTTGAACGTATATATATATATATATATATATATATATATATATATATATATATATATATATATATATATATATATATATATATATATGCTCGATAAATTCATTGAGCAATGTTGAGAGAAAGGGTAATTCTAAAAAGCAGCCGTTTTTCGATAATGCAACTCTCTTCATAAAAAATATGAATAAAGCACTATAGCTGCCTGGCGTTTGTTTAAATTCGTAAAAATGATAACCTAGAATTTTCCTCTGCCTTGCGCTGATAGCTCAGGTGTAGAAACTTCGACTGATGCCAAATCGGTCGGGTTTCGATCTCGACTTGTGGCAATCAGATTTCTAGCCACACTGAGGAGCTGTGATACAGCGAAACAAACAGGCTTGTATATATATATATATATATATATATATATATATATATATATTCGCGCGTAAGAAAACCTTTAAATCCAAAAAGCACCCTTAAAATTTAGAGGGTCGCCTTATACTACAATTCTAAAAAGAAACTTTAAATTCTGAGTGATGTTTGTCAGTAGGTTAACCTCGGCCTTGGTGGGATAACCAATAACGTACATGAAAAGATTCACATTATCAAATAAACTGATAATAAAAGTAATAAAACAATTTCTACCTTATCTATTACTGACATAACTTCATAAGAATAATTCCATATCTATCAAATCAACTTGTATCTATGCAAGCTCAGCTGAGATAAAGTAAACATTAAGATATGATTACATTCACAGCAATGGAATGTACTGTTATCATACGTTATTAGTGTTTTGTGATTATCGATTGAGTGTAAGTAAATTGCCATTTGTACACATTAGCTGATATTCTTAGTTTAAAAAAAAAGGGTGAAATTTAAGTAGAACGAAAAATGTGCGTTAGTAATGGCGTCTTTCATTGCAAAGCAGCCGAGAACTTTTCAGCACCACTTCGTGCATGTTCCTGATCTGATTTAATATTTTATTTCCCACTTTATTTGTTCCTCACTTTCTGTCTGTTTTGTTGCGTCGATAGTAAAATTCTATCGCCCGGAAAATTAAGACAGTCTGTTATTAATTTCTATGTCTTCCCCGTATAAAGCTGTCTTCCGATTTTTATAATGAATTTCTAGAAATGTTCGTGAATGCTGAGATGGAAGGATTCATAGCGACAGTTGTAAACAAGAAGTAAGATATTCTACTTTTGAAGTCTCGGTACTGAAACTCGTAGAAATAGAAGAGCCGTAGAAATTCTATGGTTCATTTTAGCAATTTGGGAATAAAACACAAAGTAACTCATTACGCCCAAAACAATTTTAAAGTGAAGATTCTCACAACGTTTCGGCCGATATCTTCTACGACCTTTATCAATGTCCTATAGATATTTTGATGCGATTTCCCTTCGAAGAAGCCTTCCTCAAAATCCAAGCTAATTTTAAATGTACGAAGCATTTTTCTAAATATTTATTTTTTGTCTTTTAATTCCTTTTAAATTTCGTGATTGAACTAAAGTAAAAATCTATCGTGACTGATGTCCAACACGTCTCTTTTTGATGGCTCCAAAAATTATCGTTGAGGTTATATGGATTTGTAATTTGTAAAAATTACCTAATTTCTCTTTCTGAAAGAAAATGGTCAATAATTTCTAACCTGTACACAATTCCAAATTCAATCCTTTCTGCACCAGTTTGTTAGCCATCAAACAAAAAGAAAACAAGTGTTTATATTTGTGCATAAACATTTATTTAATCTACACAGATAGAATATTCTCGTTCCGATGTCCAGGAAGGGCTAATGAATGTTAATTTTCGCCAATGATGGATATCGATAATGGCGTCGTTGTCAGTTGGTTGATTGGTTGATTTTGTTTACCGCCATATCAACCTCCATGGGTTATTTAATGCCGAAATTTGAATATTTTGTACGTAATTTTATGCTTTCAACTACAGATATTTTATACATAATTGTATACTTTCAGATAATGGCATTTTTTTAGATATACATTTTGTAGATCATAAAATGCATTGTTAATAATTTTACCATAAAAATGTATTTTTATATTTTTTAGTATTGCACTTATTGTCATTTTGCTATAGAAGTCTATTGTTTCTCAGTTTATTATAAAAAATGTCCAGTTGATTTTTGTTTGGGGTTCACTATTTGCCCATAGCTGGGACCCTAACACCATCTCGTGTCAGGGTGGACCTGGGAACAACAGCAGAGGTGTTTCCACGCTTCTCAAAACCGCCAATCTCTCGATCAGAGGCTTTGCTTTTGTAGTTTATCGTTATACCCAGGTCGACCACGTCGTTGTCAGGAAAAGGCTGACTGCTTTGCCCCTCGTTCATTGCACAAATGAAAATTAGAAATCAGCAAATCCGGACTAAACAGTGGGTGTTAACCATCAGCAAGAGCCGATGAATGTCAATGGGTCCATTTTTTTTTCCATATTGAGGAATTCATTAAAAAAAATCTTCGTCTTGTATACACTTTCAGATCAGTCGCCATTTTCCCAAAATTCCTCTCAAATGCAACGCGCTCTGTTACAGTTATTTTAAAATTTTAAATTCATCCACGAGTTTTTTGGAAATCACTATCACAACAGAATGCAGATTTTACTGAGGTTACTATGAGTTTGTCTTTGTAATTTACCCTTGAAGATGGTCTTGGAAAAGATCAAAAGTACATGGATTAAAAAAAAAACTACGGTGCCTTCCTTGATGAATTTGATCTTAAGATCAAGAATCTCATTAGACAACTGGAAAGGATTAGTATAAAAATTGACATAATATGCCTATATTATTCAATGAAACATGTTTGAATGGAATCTGCTGCCTAAATATTTATATTTTAATTACATATATATATATATATATATATATATATATATATATATATATATATATATATATATAGTGTGTGTGTGCGCGCGTGTGCGTGTGTGTGCGACGAGAAAATTATCGCCGTTTTATATTTTTAATTTCCGGCATACGCGTTACATCTGCTTAGCTAACTACCCAGACTGCAACCTCGTTGATTATTATGTGTGGGCCACCGTTGAGCGGGAGACCAACAAAACTCCTTGTAACACCAAACATGAACTGAAGGCAAGGATTACGACAGCATTCACCGACTTAAAGAAGGAGACCGTGCAGAAGAGTTGCAGGAGATTTCAAAGTCGTCT